CGGGAGACGTGTCGTGATGTGGGGTGTAAGGGATGTGTGTGTTCTTACCGCCGTTGGCTGTGTGCGCTGTTGTGATGGTTTCCGCCCTGTGGTGGTGGCGGGAGGCGTCGCATTTGAGGTCTGCGACCGAGCAGCGCAACACGGGCCCTCGAAGTTCCCAGTCCAATCTCGCGTGGTACGCAGACCTGAGCANTGTGGTCTGTCGTGGCTGTGGTATGGTCTGTGGTGTTATTATGTTGTTGTGCTGTGGTGACTGTGTGAGGCTGCTCAGGTGGACTGAGGTTAGCCGTGGAGGCTGCTCTGTTTGAGCAACAGGGGGCCACGTACGACGTGGTCCACAGTCGATGTGTCCGTAGTCCTGAGCAGACTCTAAGGTGACTCCACCCCTCGTAGGCATTACACTTGACTGAGGTGGAGTTGTGGTGTAGTCGTCTCTGGCATACACAGCAGGTGTAGATTTCTGGCCCTGGGTTTGACTCGAAGAGTAGCAGAATACGTAGTGAATGTAGCCCTATGGATGGGCAACTTCTGAGATACTTCGCCGACCTAAACGGGGTTAGATCGCCGAAACAACAGCCCTTAGTCGGGTAAAACCCGAGTCATTGCGGTATGTAGAACCGGCTTTCGTGGGAATGATTGAGTGGCAATACCGCACATCAGCAGGTGGATTTTGCGTTAAGCACGCCAAAATTGTTTACATTATAAAAAATAAAATATATAAGTTTTTAGTGATATATTTACCGATATTTTGATATATGTGGCTAAAATGAAGTACTGTTCTTGTGCCTTTGTGTGTGTGTATTAAGTTAATAAAAAAGGTACTATTGTGGAAAAGTTTTTTGTTAATAACTTTTGATCGGGTAAAAAAAGTTAATTTCCGCTTTCGGATCCTTGCTATTGGAGTCCAGAGGCGTCTAATGGTACCCCCCACCAAAATGTTGACCAACTTTGGGGGTTGAAAGCCCACCTAGATAATTACCACTTTACAATTAATCGATTAATGCAACACAAAACTACGATATAATTAAATTGTGAATTTGTCAAAAAAGAAGCGATTAATTTAATCAAATTATTAATCGCTGTCATTCCTAATCGAGTCGACGGATTGTACCATTTTTACGATTACTTTACAATTAATCAATTAATGCAACACTAAACTACGATATAATTAAATCGTAAATTGGTCAAAAAAGAATCGATTAATTTAATCAAATTATTAATCGCTATCATATCTAATCAAGTCGACGGAGTGTACGGCCGTAGATAAATTTTCTACACAAACTTTAAAACATTATTCATTGCAGGACGTTGGGATGCATTCAATAATTTTTGCATTCATAGGACGAAAGCTAACAAAGGAGGCACAACCTGGCGTCTGAGATCAACTGTTTATGCCACGATAAATTATTACCTAGCGCGCATGAAAACTTAGGTTCCAGCTCACCAAATCGATAAAATAGGCCTGAGAACTTAAACATGATGGCGCGTCATATTAAGAAAGAAGAAATTAAATATCCTGATATTAAGAAATGTGGTGAAATAACCACTTTGCTGGTCATAGGAAGGAAAGAGTTCTTTCTGAATTGCGAATTTTGTGAAAATAAATTCCTCCATTTGGAAACATTTATACAGCATATGTACGATGACCATCTGAATGAATTTCAACCACTGAAATTTGAAGATATGAATTGCAGCGCAAAAATAGAAGTAAACTCGATTTTATTTTTAAGTTTCAAAATCGGTATTTATGGAAGCCAAATTTTTACAGAGCGATGAGGGTGCTCAATGTAACTTTAGAGACTTTGAAAGAGTTGAACTAGAATTGGACTCGGTCGAGACAAACAACGAACTTGCTAAATGTGAAGAAGTAACACCAGAAAGCAATATGGATGATTATATTTATGTAAGATTACTTAAAATGTTTTAAATCGTAAATTTTAAAGCATGTATTTAACCTACAAGGATATAAATAGTTGTGACGGATCCATTGACACGGAACCCTCAGTTAAAAGTTCTGGCGAGGTTGATAGCTCAGTTTTTGTTGCTGATAAGCAGGTTTCTAAAATATACATATATACGTATGTATATAATCAGTAAATCAATTTAATTACAGCCGGCCGATTTGAAAAAGATGTTCCCTGTTAATAAGATGCAGGCCATATTTTCGAGTTATATGGAGTATCCTGCGCTCTGGGATAAAAAGGGAGGAATTACTAAAAATAGGAGTGAGAAACAGCGGTTATTCCAGAGAATAGCCTCAGATGTAGGCATGCCAAATGAATGGAAAAACATTCAATTGCTACTTGGAAAACTGCGCGTTAAACTGCAAACAGAGATTATAAAAAAAAAAATGGATGAGTCGAAAGGTCGATTATATACTCCCACTTGGTATACAGATCTGCCTTTCTTTTTGAAACAAAGGCCAAGTACATCAAATCCGGCAAGTCTTACTATTTATGCACATTCATACTCATTTCAATTAATTGCTTACACGAAACAAATCGTACCGTACTAGCATTACTAACAATAAATTTTTTTTTAGAACAATCGGGAAACAGCTAAGATATTCATTCCGCTTTCCACTTTAATTACTGACGAGCAAATAGCGATTTTAGCTGAACTGTACAAAGGATTTCCATGCCTTTGGGATGAAAAGGACATTAAGTATAGGTTTGGAAACCGTCGCCAGGAAGCATTAGAAGTTGTACGAAAAGAATTCAATACAAGATCGGGATTGAATCTAACACAACAAGATTTGAAGAGTGAAATTGGAAAGATGCGAAAAATTTGTTCCAAAGAAAAGAGGCAAAAGTTAACATGTAAAAAATTAAACACGGTGTACATATCGACATGTCCTTTTTATGATCAAATTGCATTTCTCGAAGTCGACGTTCCGCCATTTGAGTGCTCAATATGTGGAACATTACTGTCTGGTATAGGTCAGTATAAAGTGCATTTAGCTTCTCATGATGGCTCACTGCCATATAAATGCCATCTCTGTGACCATGAATTTAGATTACCCACAAACTTAACAATACATTTACGAAGACATGTACATGACTACACCTATACCTGTGAGATATGCGACAAATCATTTGCTACTTCTACAGATCTAAAAATTCACACACGTTCACACACAGGCGAAAAACCATACTTTTGTGAGATATGTGGGAAGAAATACCAAACTGCATCACTATTTAGTACTCATATGCAGCGTCACGAGAATCGGCCCCGTCACAAGTGTGAAATGTGTGGGAAGCCTTTCTATACAAGAACAATGTTAAAGGAGCACATAAATGCACATTTGAAAATAAAAGACAAAATTTGCAATATATGTAACAAAGGTTTTTCAAGTCGCAAGCATCTACGCCAACATAAACAAATCCATGCAGCAAAAAAGAAATATTTATGTAAAATTTGTGATAAACGTTTTGCACAATATGCCGGTCTTAGTGGGCATATGAAATCGCATGGAACCACATTGACAGCAACCCAAGTATGAATAAATAATTATTATTTTTTGCAAAGCAACAAAAACTTTTTGTTTATTGAGGGGTTTGCAGTTAGGGCGGGAGTTCCATCAGGATTTTTCTTATATCCGGATGAGCGAATATGCGATTCTCGACAGAAACACCCTGGGAGTTTTTTCTTTTCTCCTATCATGAGTGAAAAATTCCTCGAGGATTTAAACGGTTAGCGGAGTTGAACGGTCAAAAAGTGTCACAGAGCTCTCGAAGTTCGAAATTCCTCTTCCCAAATTTTCGGGGAAAATGCTACTCCCTAAGAGTTAATTATTATACGATTTCTTGGGAGAAAAATTCCCTTGGAGTATTCAGAATTGGGCTGATATTCCCATTTGTACATGCAAACATTTTTTTTAAGTGGGGAAATCAATAAAATGTAGTTTTTTTTATACACTCGTTCTTAATTTTATTTTGGGTCATAAGTATACTTAGCAAACAAGTCGGTAGGATATATAACGTCCAGCCGTTTCTGAGGAACGTATAATTTTAACTACTTGGCCACGTTTTAAACCAAAGTAACGCGCCACCGGGTCACCTGCTTGTATACGCATTAACATATTTTCTTTTAGTTTATAACGTGCCAACAATTCTTGTTTTTCCTCCGGGGTCATAACTACGTGCTCAGGCACCAACTCGTGTTCGGTTATGTTGATCAATAGCTCCGATTCAAGGAATTGCTCCAGTATGTACTTGGGTGCCATGTCAACTAAAGATTGTTTGGCTGATGGTGTCATACCCGCTTGAACTACCACAATCGCGCGATGGATGTTCTCTTCTTGCATTCTTGTACAATAGGTTTTGATAGTTTTTATACCAATTTTTGGTTCATCCGGAAAGAAAACAAACATTTGATCCGTCGGATCATCGTTGTGTGCTACCAAAACAATGAGATCCGAACGTGCTGGTCGTTTTTCGCTTGGTTTGTCACCAAACATTTCCTTAAATTGCTCCAAGGTTTGATCCAATTCATCTTGTGTTACGAGATATCCACGATCATGGCTCAGTTGCATTATAGTTTTGCGGATACGCCAAAGCTTGTAAGTTTCCGCCTCATCATCCATTTTAAGCAAACACGCTTACTTTTGGAAGTTAAATACGAAATGTTCACAGCCTTCTGCTCCACAATGCGATGAGCGAAATAATTGTCACTTTGACAACTAATTCTGGAAATGCCAACTACCCCTTTCAACTTCACTTAATCGATTTTTAAAAATATCGATATATCAAAAGTTGAATACGCTTGACCTCGAACTCCATACCGAGCGAATTATACCATTCAATTGGGGTGTTCACAGTTCGTTCCAAATTGTGTCTGAAAATGTAGACGTCTACATTTTGAGACATCTTTATAACATGTCCCCACCAAAAAGTTAACCATCTCAAATCGAACTTAACCACATCACTAACTATTGCTGTCCACACTGCGGTTTGAGGTTTAACGCAGTACAAATGTAGAGAACAGTGTTCGGAGCTCCAAAACTCGATTCAGGACTAAAAATCTGGGCAAAAACAAATTTTGCTTACTAGATTGAATTTTTGATTTTCGTTTGTGACATTAATTGTTTGACTAAAATATTTTCTATTCATGCAAAAATAAGAACGCGAGGCAATGTAAGGATAATATGTTACATATTTAGGTAATATTTAGCATTTTCTATAAAGTAGAACGTTTCTAACACTTAATTTTTTAAAGAGCAATAGGATCTAAACCTTTTCTACTTTATATAAATTTTATTCTACATATATTTTTTAACAACTTAAATATAGTTCTGCATCCGGCAATTTCTACAGCCATACATCAAAAAATAACGAAGTTACTTTATTGACGCATTGCCATGAAAGAGTTACTTTTTAACAGTGTGATTTGGCTTACTTTCAATATTTTTACTGAAACCGGTGGTGAACACTCAAAAAATGGCCCTAATACCATGTCTCCACCAAAAAGTTAACCATCTCAAATCGAACTTAACCACTTCACTAACTATTGCTGCCCACACTGCGGTTTGAGGTTTATAACACAGTACAAATGTAAACAGTGTTCGGACTTCCAAAAATCGATTCAGGACTAAATTGCTGCAAAAATCGGAGCAAAAACAAATTTTCCGTACTAGATTGAATTTTTGTTTCTGACATTAATTGTTTGACTAAAATATTTTCTATTCATGCAAAATAAGTACGCGAGGCAATGTAAGGATATGTTACATATTTAGGTAATTTTTAGCATTTTCTATATAGTAGAACGTATCTAACACTTAATTTTTAAAAAAGCAAACCTTTTCTACTTTATACATATAAATTTCAATCTACATATATTTTTTACCAACTTAAGTAAAGTTCTGCATCCGCCAATTTGTACAGCCATACATCAAAAAATAACGAAGTTACTTTATTGACGCTTTGCTATGAAAGAGTTACTTTTTAACAGTGAGATTTGGCTAACTTTGAATTTTTTTACTGAAACCGGTGGTGAACACTGAAAAAACGGCCCCAAGAGGGGCATAACATGAATGAAAAAACGGAATAGATTTGAAGTCAAGCGGAGTAGAGGACTTGATTTCAAATATTTTTAAAAACTGGAGTAAATCTGATCTGATTTTAGCTGAGTCCAAACAATAGTAGGGAACGAATTTTTTACATTTTAACGCTAATGACCCACAGATGGCGGGAAAACACAGGGTTGTATCAGACTTTCGACGTGGTTTCGAGTTGGTTAGCTTTTAACCATCTCAGTGAAATGGTTAAGTGCTGTCATTTTTATACGGCGAAACTACGCTAAATCAAGTGGGTTATCGGCATATACAACTCAATAGCCATAACTACGTGGTTAGCTCCGGTGGGAACATGGTATAAAGTTCAGATTTCAAGACGTAAGAAAATAATGTTGATTTCTAATAATTTCTGTCCTGATGGTGCCAGGCATTTTCTCCCATACAAACGAAATTCTCGAGCATATTTTATATGGAAGAAAATGCACAACACCGTCAGCCAAAAAAATTATTAAAAATCAAAAATCAATAAATCAAAAAATTTAATATTTTAGGCAAAAAATATTTTTTTTCTTCATACATTTATTTTTACCGGCAAAACTGTTGATTATATAGAAAAACGTTATATGAACAGATTAAAGGAATTGTAATTCTTAATTTTTTTTAAATTTGTTTGTTTGAGCAAAATCGGACTAGTGGTTCTCGAGTTATGTCAAAAAAAAAGACCACCAAAGGCGACAATATCCCCTATATGATAGATACTAACTTCAAATCGATATATCTCGATTCCTAGACGTGACCCAGCGAAACGCCGGGCCACGTATAACTTGTTTTTGACCGATATAACATTTCCCGTTGGTTTCATCCCATCCCGATTTTGACTGTCGCATAGTGTTATCATTGAGCGAAAAAATTAAATAAACAAAATTATTTTTTACCGAATAATAAAAATAAAATTACAATTTCTGTTGGGCAAAAAATGATTAAAATAATGATTAAACGCTGAATTAAATTATTTTACTCATACTGATTACCGTCCCTGACTCGTAGTGGACAAATACTGCAGAATACGAAAACGTCGTAGTGGAATCGCCAAGGCTTCCTTTCCTTCTGCCGTGGCTCAAGGCCCCCATGGGTCCATTACTCTATCTCGCACATGGGTTACTCACGTTACCGAGGAAGAAACCCCTCCATACACCACTACATCCCCCGTAATGCACATAGATCCGTTTATAAGTATCGCATCGGATGCTTTTCTGACGGTGTTTATATGCTCGAAGTACTGTAACCGTTTGAATTAGTTTAACTAATTTATAACATGACTTAACAGTTTTCTTATTTAATTAGCATATATATTTTTGCAACGAGATATTTATGTACATACATATGTAGCATGAAAGTAAAACGTGGGACGTTAATGACATCACAGTCGCCGATGAAGCACGTCGGCTAATTAAGATTTTTATCGAAATAATTGGAGTTAAGAAAATTGATGATAATTATTGACGTGCATAGCACAAATTTAAACTCATCATTAAAATGACTTATTATATACAATACTTGTTTGCCCTCACCAGCTTTGCTGAGTGTATGAAACTTCTGTGTATTACGGTATTTATTTCAATAAAACTCTAGATATTTACACGAAGTCAAAAACAAGAGAGATTTAAAATTGTTCCTCTTTATTAACCCTCTTTAAGATTTTTTAAACAAACACCTTCTTGAATCTCGTTTGTTTGACACCTATATTGGGTAATAATGATAATATTACCTAATTTCCATAATTCAAGTTGACTTGGACTTTTTAAAGAGGCGGCAACATTTAGTTTGGAAATGAAGCCTTTGGCTCATTCCACGGTGACGGGTGTGAGATTTCAACTAACATTTTAAGGCTTAATTCCTAAACCATAATATAAAATTCTTAAAAATGAGTATTTTCTAAACAATTTAATCCAAACTAGTTATATGAGTTTTAGTCACTGTGACGGGTGTGGCGAGTACGCAAGCCAAATTAGCTACTACTTACTTGTATCAAAGTTTTTCTGCTAATTATGTCTTCTCCTTACGGTTTAAAATAGTTCGTTGTATAGTTAAATAAACATTTTCAACATTTACGCCAAAAATGCTTACCTCTATTGGAAATTATAGATTATAGTTGCGTTCCCCAACTTTTCTGGTTAAACCTGTAAAACTGTAAAAACGCAAAAGAAGCCAGAGAATCGAGTACGGGAACGCTTTCTGGTACATTTCTGTAAATTCTTGCAAACTCTTGCGAGTTAGGGAACGCAACTTATATGTTCCAAATTCAACTGTGACGGGTATGACTTGACTTTGTGATGTGTGTGACAAGTTGTGCATGAATACACACATACACATTATTAGACAACTAAACTAACTTTATTTCTCAAAAAATAGATTTTACGAACTCATAAAAGATTCTGCCACCAAAAGACGGAACAATCCTTGATCGTACTCTTCATATCCTCTGTCTGTCTGAGTCATTGTAAAGTTACTTTATTTTTTAAATAGTACGACACTTTTAATGAGGCTGTTACCTGTCAAACGGTATGAGATACTGTTTTTGCCCTAACAAGTGAAGTGACGGTTTCCTTTTATCCGTGACAGCATAGCTTAAGTTTTCCCGTCGCTGGAGTAACA